TAGAAATTGAGCAGCAACAATGTAAAATATTAAACTGAAAGTTATTTTTATAGTGTTTTATCTTTCTTTATACCTAAAAAAAAATTTAAAAAATCAAGACATTATTTTTGAAAAACCTTTTGCGAATAAAACAATTTTGTGCAGAAATAACTTTGTCTCAAATCAAAGAGTGATGCTTTGTAAGGCCTGTAAGATTTGTAGAGCTTTCCTACTTAATTATATACTTTAGGTATGATGATGATACTGTTATAATCTGTCTAAATCATTGCTACCAAGAAGTTATTATTCTAGTTTCTTACTGCATGATTTTCTGTGATATATTGTCCAATAGATTTTCAATCCAATACTTTTCTATCTTATGACTTCTGGCTTCAGCATTTTAATGAAAATTACGATTGTAATATTTCTTACGTAAAATTGTCCTATTTCCGATTAATGCTCATAATTATATTATTTATCACATGTATTTAATGTACTTAATATTTTAACTGCATTTTAGTAAACTTCTTTCTCCACCATTTTCTTATTTAAAATAAATAGCATAATCACTAATAAGTTGAGATTAATTATCTTAGCAGTAAATAGTTCCAGAATACTCATTGAATTATTAAATTTTGTTTCTAATGTAATTAGAAAAGTAAAATTATTATTTATTATTATTAAAATTAAATATTTTCTTTTTAGTTTGTATCATAAGCGTTACTTTTATCTGGAGCTGTTTTAATTATAGTGTCTATATTGATAATATATTGAACTGAGAACTTCACATCATCAATATTATCTTCTTTCTCGAGAAAATTAATACTATTATTGCAATCCGCAATCGTATAGTGTGACAGTTTCTCCTTTAATAAACGAAAACGAAGAACAGACACTAGCAACAATATAGAACAAGTTTCTATGACAGCTTTGTAAGAGACTATTATTTCTCATATTAATGTCCCGAGACACTTCTAAAACTAGAGCTTTAACCAACTTACCTAACGGTATTAAAAGGGTTAATGCAAGGAACTCAATTTCATGGCTGTGCGCATATCTATAGACATGCAGACTTATCCATCATTATTATGACGTTGCGACCTAAACCGTAGTAGCTGAAATAGAATTTAATATGCTTTAATAATTAATGATGTTATGTCTGTCTGCGAAAATCTATTATAGTGATCTAATTAGATTCATTTAGTGAATGATTATACAAGAGTCAGGAAATAAAAGAATTTTAGGTAATTTATTTCTTTCAACAACAGAGAAATTTCATTTTCTTTAAAACTTTTCAGCACTGAAATGCAAAGGAATTAAAATATTAATACTGGCTTTTAAAATGCTGCAAAATCTTGACCTTTTGCTATTTTTTGAGTAAAGTCTAAAATCGGTGATGCGGTATATAAGTTTATTAGGTTAGGATACGAGGTTAAAAAGTTAACATTTAAAGTTATAATTAGAAATTGATCTGATGAAATCCCCTTCTAGTTATTTTCATATCCTTTATTCATTGGCATATTAACTCAACTGTTAGGAACACCCTATTTTGTTAACATAAACAACATTCCGTTTAAATACGCCTGCTTTATTATTCGAAATGTAACAGTATTTCTTGTCCTTTAGTTATTCACATAGAAGCTTAGTTACAATATTTTTGACGTAATGTGACGTATTTCGAAAGACTTCACGTATGTCACCATACGTTTATTTTAAGAATGTTCTTGAAACAGAGGAACTGTGTTCAAATTTTGACAAAGTGAAACCTTTCTTACAATGGCTTTCTGTAGTTTCAATTTAATCTACTTAAAAGCACTGAAGGTTAATCTTCCTCTTCAGGCTAACGGAATAAAAATTATTTTCTTGCTTAATATTAAAATGAAAATTTTGTTAAATCCAAAAATGATATAATTCATATGAAAACAATAAATTTATGGCAAGTATCAAAAGCGAATGTTAATATTTTGAAATAAAGGGAGAAAACTGAAACTAATTCAATATTAAATTTACAAACTATTGGCTGAACTCTGAATTACCTAACTGATACTTAGCCTAGTTATGGTTTAATTCGCAAAATAAACACAAATCCAAATTTAAAATCAAATAACTATGTATTAGGCTACTCCTCGTGGTTTTGCAAAGTTAAAATAAAAGTATAAACAAAAACGATGCTTCTCGTCATACAAAATTTTACATATTGAGGTGACTGGTGGATAAGTTTAAAGGAATTTTCTCAACAATATCCTGTTTTCAAAATATCTGGATTGGGTGTCTTGTATCAAAATTCACAAAAACAATTTACCAAGCCTCACAAAGCTAACTGTAGTTTCTTCCAACACAGCAGGAAGATTTATTCAGTCAGCATGATAGGGATGTGTTGCCATGCGTTGCAAAAAGTAGGCATATGGTAAAGATTAATCTCCTACTTTTAAACTATGCTTCTTGCCATTAAACTTGCATAAGTTTGTGATAAACGTCAAGAAAAATAGGATAGAGCTGAAATGAAATGTAACTGTTAGTAAAGTTGTTAGTAAGTTTCACAAAGTGATACTTAAGTATTTTTTAATTCGCCTAGTTAACGTTACTTTACGCGTAGCTATTTTTTTGCTGTTGGCAAGGTACAACCCTAATGATAAATAAATATTGTATAACTAAGCAGATCTTATGGTTCAAAGTTCACTGCGCGTATCCATCTGAAACGATACACCAACAGAAGAAGGCACGCGCGATTTCGAGCTTGTATCGGCTGTTAGGAGTTAATGCTTGTCGGTAGGTCAAGCATTTACAAAGGTTAGTTAAGCTAGGTCGAAGCTCTGTACAGTACTTAGTTACGCTGTGTGTACTACTCTATACAGTACTTAGTTACGCAAAGTGGTACGCCGTTATACATGAATTATGAACGAGCCTTCAAAGTCACTATAACTGAAACGGCAAAGGCGGCTTCCAACCAATACAACCTGACGTTAAATTTCTCCAAAGTAGCTCATGGACTTTTACTTCAGCCGATACCATGAGTTGCAATTAACACTCTCTTTTGCAGATTCCTAAATTTTATAACCTTCTTGTCGGATTGGTTAAATGTGACATGAATCAAAAACAAAATAGGGCACCTTTAGTTTAATTATCAGTAAAATTTTTAAAGATTTGTTACAAAATTCGCTGAGACAAAATTTTCCTTAATCCCAGACTTAGAGACTTTTGTTGCAGGAAACCTTTCACTTTACATTTTACAACACATTTCTGTTGATTCAAGTAGAATCAAATAGAATTCAATTAGAATATAATCAACGTATAAATAAAGACTTTTTTTAATATTTCATGACCGCTTATGCATCAAACTCATCTTGATTTATTGCAGTTATTTTAAGTTTGCGTTGCAGTATCACAGTCAGTAATCAAATCAGTACTACGAAGTTAAAGACACGAAACTCTTTATTTCTGGACTGGAATAAATGCATAATTTAAAACATAATAACATAAACATAAAAATTGTTTACTATAAATCATCAAAGAAACATCATTAAACACTTTCCGATTTTCGCTTTACACCCAACTCCCAAGAACTGGTTTCTACGAGGAGACAGCTTTCTCAAAAAGCCAAAAATCTCTATTTTTCGGTGAGCTCGCCACTTTTATGCTTTCAGCCGTAAAAATGCTCAGCTACGCATGCTGAGATCGTAACGTTAAACCAGGCATATTATGTCAGTTTGGCCTCGGGAATATTCCTAAAGTCCTAAAAGGTCTGTAACCAAGTGGTAAGTCTAAGTCTAACTGCCCACGTGCGTTTTGAACATATCAGAATTTGCTGTCTTTGCATCACCTGCCCGCAACATCAGTTTTTAGGAAAGGGGGCTCTTTTGAAACAGTTCAGCTCAATCAAGAGAAGCACTTGTCATGATCACGCTTATACAAAAATACAACAACCCAGAATGCATAGGCTTAGCAACCTTAGGCAAGAATTTAAAAAGACTCATTTCTAAATCTAGCTAACTATATAATTTTAACTAGTTCTGACCTAGAAATTGAGAATTTCGAAAATTTGTTTCGTCTCAGTCAATTAATATTTTACCAACATTTTTACAGTAGCTACTAAATTTACAATACTACAACTACCTTTAAAATTTCACATAGTACTAATACATTACTTATCACAGTTCACAGTAAATATTTAACGCAATACAACAGCAGTTCTTGAAACAACAAAGTAAAGATATAGACTACTTAGTAATGATTCTCTTGATCCATTTCTGCTAAATCTAATGCCACTAAGTGCATCTGTACTTTCATTTTAGGTTCCTGGTTTAGGTTCGATCTGGTAGTTGAATGGTTAGATACACCGAGACCACCTTAATAGCTTTGATTTTTCAGTTTGTGTATCTATCAGGCTGACGTGTCAATAAATAGCTCTTATGTTAAACCTTTACTTCGACTTATGATACTTAAAAAGCAGACGGGATGATAATTCGTGTGACAGTCTTTACAGTTGCTTGATGTTATTTTCTTTAACCAAATTTTTTTAGTTCCTTTATGGATCAACAAAGCACAAAATTTCTCATAAATTCTCTGATCTTTGGTACGCTTTACTCAAACCATGTGCTGAACACAAGAGTGTTTTCTTGATTTTCTTCATTCTGTGAGTTTTGCAGCGTTTTCTGGGAAGTCAAACCTTCAATTCAGCCAACATCCAACTGCGTACTTCACATTATGCAACAAAATGTGATGATTAATAAGAATCAAAGATTTGCAACTCTTCTAGAGCACTTTCTTATGGCTGAAATAAATTTTCAGCAAAAATTATATTTCAGTCGGAAATTACATTTGGGATATTAAATTATGAAATTTTATTGATGAAAATAAAAATAAGAGTGAATAATTTGTATACAATAAATCGTTTTACAATCAGTAAATTTTTAATTTGTCCGTTACAAGTTTATTGCTTATAAAATGTTGAATATTTTCTGATATTTACGATATAATGAAACTGTATCAATCTAATTAATTATGTGCAACTTTTGTTTTAGGGGATACTTGTCATGTATGACGTCACAAACATGGATTCTTTCAATCATTTGATGTACTGGTTCAGGAATGTGGAGGAGGTACGTTGGCATTCAGATTTGTGCATGTTTTAAATTATTCCTCTTATTTATTCTGTTTCTTATATTATTTTTAGAATGCTTCTCAAGATGTAGTTAAAGTACTGGTAGGTAACAAGTGTGATGCTACCCATATGAGAGTAATAGACTTCGAGAGAGGACAGAAGGTATGTTAGCTGTAAAATTTCAAATCTTTTAATTAATTTTAAAGCTATAGCAGAGTTATAAAATTTTTGATGAAATTAAGTAACTTTCTTAATTATTAATTGTATTGTCTCTCGCATGAAATTACAAAATAAAACTAAATTATTTTACATTAGATTTTATACTGCCTTTAACAAGAAAATTATAGACTTTGCAAGTGAAATGAAATTCGCTTCGTTTTACTGAGACAAACACTGTAAACTTTGGAAATTAGAATTGTCTAAAACATATTTGTAAAGAAGAAAAATTAAGGACTAGTTTAGTAAGTTAGAGAGCGTTTAAAAACCGATGTGGTAATTAAGGTAAAATAATTGATTTCATTAGAAAGAAGTTCTTCTAAACTTCCTAATAATACCTATTTTTTTTACTTTTGCGTTAAATAGATACAACGTATGTTTAGATACACTGGAAGGTAATTAAATTAAAAGTTTAAAAAAAAGAGCAATGTTTTTTTTTATTCGCGTAGCACCCTATTTTTAAATTCAAACATGAAAATAAATTGACTAAGACTTATGTTTACAAAGTATATTTTTCTATGATAAACACATTCCCAATTAATATTTTAGTAAGAATTTTAAATGCAATTTAAGCATACCACTTACATGTGATTAAATATACTGAATATCATATACGTGTGAACAAGCAAATTCTTCACCACATTCTTAGTTTATGTTCTAGGACTCTGATTGTGTTGAACCTTAATCAAACCCTACGAGACAGACAAGCGAATTATCGGTCTAATCTGAATCAAAATGATTAAATCCTGGGAGGATAAAATAACGTTTCATTCAACTCTTTAAATTAATAGAAGTATATGCTTACAAAACAAAATTTCTTCATTTGCTGGTATTTAAAATAACATAATTGAATTTTAAATTCAAGTATGATAGTCAGAGACTACACAAAATGGTCTATTTAAGCTGACTCAAAATATTAAAATGCCACATTTTTAACGCTGACTAGCAAAAACGTCTAAAGCCGGACTAAACTTTAGCAGAGGAGCTAAGTCGTAAACTACGAGCGAGGCTGCAAAAAGCCCCACTTTATCAAACCCTCGAATTAAATACTTACTCAATTAAGTTGTATTCTGGTGAAGACCGCGGAAAAAAAAGTTACTGTAAAGATTCAAATCATTATAATTTCTTAATTAACATAAAAACCTCACAATGTCATCTTTAATCTGAGAAATTGTATGATTTAGCAAACACTTTATGTCAAACTTGTTACTCTCAACCTGTATCCTGATGGTTCTATGCGACTTTTTGCCTTTTCTTACTTCTGTTAGTTCCCATTGTAAGGAATTTTCTCCTTCCTAACAGCATGACTTTATGATGCAGTTGGAAGCTCCTCCAGCTAGCAATCGAAAGGTCCGAAGTTCGATTTCCTGCGAGGACATTGTTGGTTTTTTATGTTTTCTGCTCCGATAAATACCTTATTGCTCTACAATCTGAAATGCTAAATAACTTCTTAAGTTTGGCACAAAAATAAATCGCGTATTGTATTATATCGTTTCAAAGGTTGCAAAACAAACATTATAAAATCTTTTCCACTTTTGCTGATAGGAAGTAACTTAAGGGGAAATTAAAATAGCAACCTTCTTTTAACTAAATCACTATCCTCAAAGGCTCAAACAACAAGTTAATTAGATGTTAACTTATGTCAATGATAAAAAGCTATGTTATTCTAAAAATGTTAGTTCTAACTTACTACTCCTGCTGCTAATCACAAGCTAAAAGGATATAATTCAAAGTATAGACTCATAACCAAGAGAAACAGTACAAAATTTTTGCCACCGTACTTCTCTAACAGAAAACCTTAAATAAGTAAAACCTCGATCTATCGTTTCTCGGCGAAATGAAGGAAAAAAAAGATGAATGTGGGAAAAAGAATAATTATCGAATTTACTTCACATTCTAAATAAATAAAAATTGTTGCTTTCAATATAAAAACACTACATGAAAAAAATACATTTTAACAAAAACTTCTGCATTATCCTTTGCTTCTCGGCTGAATTTTTCTTTACTTGGAAATTTGACTTTTCCAGATTTAAATGATTTTACCGCCCGCCTTGCTTCCACTTTGCATAATGTTTTAACATTAAATTTTCGTAAATCTCGATAAAACTTGGCACGCTTTTTTTTCTCATTTTTATCTTCATCTTTCTTATCCACTCGTTTGGGAGACTGAAACTGAAAAATTAAGGCTGAAATCTTTGAAATCCAGAAGGAATAAACTAAAAAAAAGTAATAGATATAAATTTATTTCCATTCAAAAACATTACTCTTTTTAAATGATGCTAATATGCCCACCAGCGGCTGAGCGGTAAAGTCGCTGAACACTGGTAGTTCGGTCCGAGGTTCGAATCCCACGAACGGGCTGGCTGCATGGGCGTTTTCGTGGTTTTTCCCATGTGTAACGTGTATACGAGCCAGTTCCCCTTAGAAAGTCCTCCACGAAGGCATCCCTCCCCTTAGGCAGGTAGCCCTCGTGTGCTTTTCCGTAATTAAATAAACCAAACCAAACCAATGATGCTAATATCTTGTAACCGTAACTAAGACTCCCATGCACAGCGTTATTGTTTAAAAAAATCTCATTACTATTGCCTGTACCTTTTGTAAGAGACGTAGTTTTGGGTGTAGTAGTTTTTATTTACTTCTTATTTTATTAGTATATTTAGTATATGAATACAATTATGGATCATTAGAATGATCAGACGTTCTATTTTCTAACTGCTTGTGCTGACATATGTAAGTCGAAAGAAAAGGTAATGTAAATAATAAACAAATGCATCGCTTTAGTTTTCACGAAATTGTCTACATGAGAAGTCTTAGATACCTTAAGTCTAGGGTATTTATTAGTTTGAAGAAATATGGAAATAAAGTCATAAATACATCTTTTTAAGGCGAAATATATGCAGTTAATAACTGTACAGCTTTAAATTCCAAACTGTGCAAGTTACTGTAAACTGCTCGCGGACTACAGTTCGGGTACGCTTATTTTCAAAGAAATCGCACAGTCTGACGCAGTCCAGTTCAAACACGCAAGAAGGGTATCTGATTTTCAGCCTTTTTAGTGAACATGTTTCGGTATGCTTTGTCCTTGTGTCGGTTTAAGTGCTCCCAAAGGACCGCTAAAAAACCCAAATTAGGTATTCGTTCTTTCAAAATTCCTGGACGTATGAGTTCCGATTTATACAACAAAAAGTTCGAGCTGTTTGTGCTCTGTGTTGCAAAAGTGTAGTAATTAGAACATTAAGTGTATAAAGACACTTCTAAACCAAACATGAGGCATCATATACAAATTCCGAGAAAAAACGAAACTATCTAATAGAGCTATTTCCAGGTATCAGAAGCAAATTACTATATTTTATCAGGTAATTGGTACGAAAAACAAAGCAACTGAATGTAGCTATAAATTTGTTTACTGCTTGGGTTTGAAAGGGACAACACTTTCAGATGGAAAATTTGTTAAAGAAACAATGACAAGTTGTGCTTAACTTTTGTTCAGTGACTTGACTAATAAGCCTTGCCTCGTACTTGGGAAATACTTGCTTCCACCAGATCAATGGAAATACGTGTAACAGAGATGGTAGAATATGTATAAAAAACAAGCTGTTTACGAAAGATTTCTGCCTTGAATGTCGCTGTTTACGAAACCTTTGAGCTGTAGTGACTCCGTATTGCGGCGGCCGTGTTTATGAGGTGTATTATAGTGCTGCTTGATCCCATTTAACGGTACAATTAAGGGAGAGGAAATTGTTTCCGCATTTCTAAATTACTTTGAAAGGCAAAATATTGATGTTAAAAATGAGTATTTTGGGTTAGCACTGATGCTTCTACTGCTTTAGTTGGCTGTAACAAGGTTTTCTAAAGCATCCTGGAGATTATATATTTTGAGCTTACATGGCATTATGCAACAACAGAATTTGTGTCCAAAGATCTCTGCATTTCAGTTAAATACTGTGACGGAAAATGTCGTTAAGTTAGATAATTTCTGTGTGTCTCGCTCCGCATTGATTCACGGATTGTTCACTTCATTACAGGAAGAAATGCGGAAATCATATCGTGATCTCTCTTTGTAACGTTCATTGGCTTAACCGAGTTAAGGTGCTCTATGTATTTGTGTCATACTTGGGTGCAATCAAGTTGTTCTTTCATGAAAAAAGAACATTTCCCAGAACTCAAGACGAAGGTTTCCTGCACCAGCTGTGCTTTCTCGCTGATATTACAGCACATTTCAATGTGTTAAACAAGAGTTTTCAAGGTAAGGGAGAAAGAGTACTAGAACTTTACGCATGCTGGCGGGAGCGAATATCAAAATTAGTCGTATCATTACTAGAAATTACAAACTATTTTTCAGGTATAAAAGCTCACTCGACTTCTATGAACTTTCACACAGATGAGCTCTTGCAATATCTAAAAGCACTAACAGTAGAGTTTACGGTACGAGAGCAACACTTCCATACTTACGGGCCAGTGTTTTCTACCTCATCAAATCTGATTTGATAAATTTGATTCGTCTGTTTTTGAATGGATGGGTAGTGATGATTTTGAGATGGAACACATAGGATTCAAGCCATCCGAGAAAATGTTTGCAATCACGCATATTCCGAAACAAGATAGTTCAAATAGTTCCGAAGCATTCCTAAAATGCTGGGCATCTATGCTTCAAATTTCCTAGTATTTGAAGAAAGTAGCATTTGCTCTCCTCTCTGCTGTCGAAGTCAGCTACACGTGTGAGCAGGGTGTTTTTCTTTATGCGTAAAATGTCTTGAATCCACACACATGTCGCTTCACAAACACTTCACACTCAAAAGCATATGTCACGCCAAAAAATGTCAAAGTATCCCTCCCCCCGCAGCAACTAAACAAACAGAAGTAAAAACAAGTTTCTCATTAACCTAAGTGAATAAATTTAACATGCTTCTTTCCAAAAGGTTTCCTAATCTTATTAATACAGGTTGAGTATTAATAAGCTTTGTTTTTCGTAGATACTATTACTGGTTTTTGACACCGACATACATAATAATTTTTCAGAACTCAGTAGAAAGCTTTGGCCGACCTAAAGCCGACCACTGCTTTAAATAGAATAAATTTATTAGTAACGAACTTCGTGACAAGATTAGTACTATCTCTGTGCACAACATCCAAATACATTGAGGAGAAATATATTTTCTTTTGGCACTCGTTGAATCTAGTGATCATGTATTTAATGCTTGCATTAAATCAGAGAATTTTTGGAACTAATTCAGTTTCCTTCGGCATAACTTTCCCGTAAAAATCTTAAGTATTCTTTAAAGTTTAACATCATTTGGATTGCTAGTGTCCATTTACAAGACCTTAAATAGAATTCCTTCGTTTACGTCGTTGTGTATTTTATTTCAACAGGCTATTTCAAACAAAATTATTCTGGCTGAATATAAGATTTTTGAAATAAATACGGAAATAAGAAATATTCCACGCTGATAATTTCATGGTCTCAAATGCAGACTTAAACCGTATATTATGTGCAGCGAAATATTACAGAAATATTTGCAAAACGCTGAGTGCTTGCAAAGTTGAATTTGAAAATAATGTATGATTTTTAATGAATATTACGTCTTACTTAGACAAAATGGTAATACATTTTTTGAGCTAAAATCAAAACATGTATATCACGTTTCAAAGAATTTTAATATTCGTAATTGAACTGAAACTGTGGCACTCTCCCATTAAAAGCAATAACCTAATTCACTCTGGAACACTGTTAGGACACATTCATGTGAGCAGCTAAAATTATGTAGTATTGAATTAGGTATGTATATTATTAACAACAAAGTTGTACTATTTAATTTCATGCTACTAAAACTTTTGAGAATAAATATCAAGGTTTCAGAAATCCTCAACTGCATTTCAGTATATTTACTATTCTATTTTACATTGGCATCGAATTTAACCTTAGAGTTTGCAATCAGAATGCAAGAAGCTGTAGTCAAATATGAAAGAGCATATAGAAAATATAAATGGAAAACAAAATAGCTATAAAATTTTTGCTGTTTCTCTTTAAAGAATGTTAGTTATGAATGATGATATTTTGATTCTTGTAATTTATAATTTTTGACTTGAATACTAAAACTATAATTAATAGGCAGATGTTAAAAATGATATAAAATGTCCATGAATCAGTGCTTCGATGTTTTTATAATTAATTTATTTTAAAATAGAGTAACTTCTCGAAACAGATCAAATCATTTGCTAATTATGAAGCATAAATTCACTTGGTAAACGGTTGATTATTTTGTGTAAGACATTCTATCAAGAAGGAAGAGAAACACATCACAGTAAAACATAAAATTAGGCAAAACAGCAACCTTCTGTTTGATGTATATTTTAACCGATATTCTATGGGTTTCGAGGGTAATAGATGCAGATCCCTTATCACTAGGAGAAATGTTTTTGCTCCTGGTAATGAGGTACCTGCAGCTATTGCCCTCGAAATCGATAGAGTCTTTGTTAAAATATACGCCAAACAAAAGGTTTTTGCTTTGCCAAATTTTAAGACGTTCTGTGCTCATAGAACAAAATACCAAGTTTTAATTTTGTACTGGATTCTATTTTTAATTTCTTAAATTTATATCCACTCCTACCTCTATTTTATGTTTACGAGTATTCGACAAACAGAACTATGTTATGGCCAGTTTGTGCTCCTTTCGGAAAACCTACTAATTGCTGTTGTTTATTTCTTAAAAATTATTATACAAACAAATAGATATATAGATGGTTCTAAAATTCACTAGCTCGAAGATATTGCTACGGCAGAAAACAATTTCAGTATTCATACTGATGTTCTACTGAAAAAGTCTACTTAAACTTACTACCTCCTTGCTCTAGTTTTGAGAAATTTTCTGCACCTTAGTAGCAGTCCTCTGGATATATTTTCACCCGCTTTTGAGAAGAATACACTTTTTACTGAGGACTTCCCTAGATGCTTGAAAAACGATTTTTCCATTCTTTTTCGAAGAAACATTCTTTTAACTGTACCACATTTATGTTATTATACTTTTCTTTAAAACTTAAACTTTAAAATTGAGGTTATTTATTATGCACACAGCATAATTATCAGATAAACTGCGTAACTGTTATTTATATTTAAGTGCTGTATCCAGTTTAGGTAACAAATGCAATAGGTTTTATAAAACATCATCTAAAAGTTATCGCAGATTTAATGTCCATGCTTAATTTAGTTTTGCATAAAAAAGATCAAAATATGTTTTCTAAATATACTTTTTTATAGATGGCAGAAACTTTTGATATCCCGTTCTTTGAATGCAGCTGCAAAAACAATGAAAACATTCATGAGGCTTTCATTGAACTTGCGAGAAAAATCAGAGAACAACGTGAGATAAGAGTAAGCTGTTTTCAATTTTTTGATGGTTTTTATGTAATTGGAAATGTTTAAGTTATATATATTTATGACTCTTAATATGCTCATGATGGAATCATAAGATTTTTATCTTTTACAGGCTAGTAAATTTGATGAAATGGAAAGGCTGCAATGGGAAAAAGCAGATCTTAATCAAAATAAACAACTGACAACAGGAGCTTATCGCTGTAGTTGCTAGGTTTCTCTTCATGAGCCGAAGTTTATATCTTAAATAAAATGTTATTGAATTACAGAAAGAACTAGAAGCGCACATTTAGAAATAAAAAGGACTGCCAAACTCAGAAGATGAGCAAGAAACTTGTTAGAAACTTTGTTAAATATTGTATGTTTATTCCTCATCATATTTGCATTTGAAGCAAGTGCAGAATTTCTGAACAAAGAGCGGTACTTGTCTGATTATGAGACGAGATATTTGTAATCTTATTTTTTATGATTTTCTATATACTTCTGTAACTCAAAATGTTAGGTGTAGTATTTCTGACGAGACCAAATTTTTATATTAATATAAGCAAAACTTTGCCTAAATTAAATTAACACATTTTCTTTAACCGTTTCCTTCTAAGTTCAAATGATATTTCTCATGTTATGTACTTAACAATAATTAGATTTAAGATTTTTCATAAAACCTATTACCCCTATAAGTTTAGTAATATGTTGCTTTAGAGCATTTTATCCTTTTTCTACTTGAAATTATAGGTTTTCAGAAATATGATTGGAAAATTTCTGTGTCGCTATTTCTGATATTGCATATATTTAGATATGACTTATCAGATCATATATATGTGTGTGCTTTAAGATTTATATGTTTATATAAAAATTAATTCTGCATACAATTCGTATGCCATGACAATTGTATCAATCTTCCGTTTACGGTTTTATGAAAAATATCTAAAATGCTGACACTATTTTACATAGCTCCTTTTGTGAAAATGCTAAATGTTCATGCTGTGGATTTGACACAACAATTTATACAAAAAGAGAAAATGAAATGAATTTGTATTAAGAATCATTTCGTATGGACTTGATTCAAAGTATGTTCTAATTACAAATGTGTCGACTGATAGAAGTGATTATGCATATTTTTCCTTGAGATCTTTAACGCCAATCGTCTAAATTTACTTTGATATTATTGAAGTTTTATGGTTTGAAAAGCAATGGGATTAATCTCTCACATGAGCAAGCAAATCTTAAAATTACATTAAGAAAAAAGTAAGAATAATTATTAAAAGATAATTAGCTTATGCATTGTTTGTAATTCTCATATTTTAAAACCTTTTCAAAATTTCACTCTTAAAATTTTAACCTCCAAGAATACATGTATTTCTCCAAGCAATATTTCTAAAGGCCACTTTACTTAGTGAAGTAAAATATTTTTAACTAGTAATTAATCAATTTCATAACCATAGAATAATAATAAACCAATAATTATTTGAATAGGTATTTTATGAAGATATTAGTGTTACATAATAACGTATGCTTAAAACCAGATTATTATCAGTTTTAGACTCTTAAAATAGCTTTGAAATTCCTAAAAGATAAATTTTATCAATCTGAAATTGCCAACGGAGGATATAACCCTTGTTTTCAGTACTTTTCTAATTAATAATAACAAAATAAGGTCTTCTGAATAAGTGTAAACATTTTTTACTCAGCTTATTAATGTTAATTATGGGTACGAATTTGGAAATTATCCAAATTTGTAGCATTGCATAGTGCGATAAGAAAACATTCAACTTACGTATAAAATGAAAATCTTGCTTGGAGAACGATAAGTTAAAGTAAAACAATTGCTATGTCATCGCTAACTGTACTGATAAAACAATGTAAAAGGAAACGCGTCTGTGTAGAAGATCAATTCTTTCTGAAGAGACTACTGCACTGCTGCAGTTCTGATCATATAATCATATTCATTGTACAGAACTGCTCAGAAAATAAAAGCTTTTTCTTCATCGGTTTTGCCCAGTGTGTTACCCCAAAACCAATGTTTTTCTTATTTAATGCCTTTAAATAGCATTTAAATTAGTAAAGGACTTAGAAAATATTTTAAATTATTTGTGTATTTAGAAAATACTGTACGAATTTAAACTGTTTTAAGATAATAATGTTTAGAAACTATTTTTTGAAACACATTTCAGATAATAAATGTATGTACTAATCATAGCATTCATAAAAACTGAAATTAAATATTAAAGCTAAAGCGTATATTAATATCACTTTACTTCTTTATAAAACCCATAATTCCTTTACACAGTTCTTTGTACCTTTAACAGTTAAGTCGTTCTATTATAGTCTTTCAATAAATTTTAAATTCATGTGCTGAATTAAAACCATTAGTTGAATCATATTTATGATAAATGAAAATTTTTCAGTTTCAATATTGATTAAATGTTTTTCATGTCAGGTATAAATGTTGAGATTTTTGCCCTTAAAAAAATAAAAGCATTTCTAGTATGTTCATTCGGACTCTTAAAATATTAAATCGTATAATATTTTATATAAGCAGCATTCCGAAGGTGTAACTGTTACATTTTTACTCCTGCTACTTTTGAAACAATTGTAGTTTCCTTTTAATTTAGTTATTTTCATCAAATAACTTTCATTATTTATTCAGATATATGGTTTACTACTAAAATCAAAAGTGCTCGAAAATCTCAGAGTTAGAAATTGTTATGGTACACATGCACGGACGCAGCTTAAAACTCCAACACAAGATTTTATCGGTAACAGATGAAGGCCGAAAGTATCGCTCGTGATGTTCAATGCATATATATAAGGGAAATTCCAATCGGAAACGTGTTACAATATGAATGTATGACAGAAAGATGAGACGATAAATGAAAAGCCTCCAAAATATACTGATAAAAAATGCTCAGTATGAATGCGATATGTATTAAGATATAATAGTACTATAGTAGATAGTACTGTTAAAGAAGAGTGGCGCGTCACTTGATCTAAAAACTCTTTTTATTCCTCTTCGAAACGCAGCCAACAGCGTCATGTTATCTCAAGGCTTCAGTTTCCCTATCTGGTAAATTATTTTTTTCTTTTACATATAATTACCTACCAGTTGTAACATCGAATTCCTCTTTCATTTTGTATTTACATGTTTGACATAGTTTTCCTTACAAAGAAATTCCCTTCTCCATCTGGCAAGAAAACATGTCATTGAAAATAGATCTGTACGTTGTTCTCGAATTTCGGCAAATGAACATCGATAATATTCAGAAACGTAAAAACAACGTTTTACCGTTTACACGCCGATATTCCTGTAATAGAGTACGTCATTAGAAAGCACAGAATATTTTCTAAGCATTTATACCAGCATTTCGCAGTAAAATTAGGAGATACGATTACATACTGAGCTTAAAATAAGTAACGAAATATGTAAATATCTTTTCTGTCCTAAGAGACTTTCCTAGGGCTCTGAACAATTCGGTTAGTTAATCGAAAACGAATGCTTCAGAGATGATAAGAATCAAATAGTAGCTAATATGTATTTTATTTTATCTTGCCATAATCTGCGTTAAATTATATTTATTGATAAATAACATCTACAAGTGATTATTTTAAAGCTAAGCAAAATTCAGGCTGGCGTATTGCTGTTTTATCTATTGATAATTAAATGTTATGATAAAACGTTGTTTACGTTAAATTCTCTTGAAAGCTGAGTATTAATTGTCCCATTAGTGAAATTATATATGTTCAAAGCTAAATGAATATCATAAATAAAATTGCTCGTGAAGTATACTACTTAGCTTATTTGAACGGAACGTTAATTTATCATTAAGTATTACTACTGAACTAAAATTCAACGAAATGGAATCAACTGTTTTAAAACAGAATTAAATAGGAACCATATCAAAACCTAACCTTTAATTTTACTACGTAATATGAAAAAACTGAAGATAAAACCTAGTAATATTAAAACAATTTTTTATTCTCTGTTTTAATATTACATATTAATATTTGTAATTTACTACATTGCAATAGTATACTAAACAGGATATTAAAAATTTGTTTTCCATCATGCCGAGTTTTTGAAGCATATGCGATCAGTTAAAGCAAAAAACACTGAAACGAAACTGAGTAATTATTAGTCAGTTTATTATCAGCATGAGCTTCTTTTACCAGCTAAAAATAATTATATAAAGGCTACAAATAATTACAAATAATATATAAGGTATTTCTCTCGCCTTCTTAGCATACCTTTTTGGTGTAATGGTCAACATGCTCGTCGCGTATTCGAGAGCTCCGAGGTTCGAGTCCCGGCAAGGGCACTGCTCATTTTTCATGTCTCCTGCTTTAGAAATAACCTAATATCTTTACAATGGTGCCCGAACGGGGATTCGAACTAGAGATCAGTCACTCGGGGCGTATTCTAGAGGTCCGTGGTTCGAGTCCAGGCGAGGGCATTGCTCATTTCTTCAGTTTCTAACATCGGAAATTCTGAATGACTCTAAAGCGGCGCCCGAACTAAAACAAGATGGTGGGTAATGGTTCTTCAGCACCAGGATTTGGCGACCGGATCCCTTAATCCCTAGTCGCCCTTTAAAAGGGGGAGTATATAAGGTATTTCTGCCGCCTTTGTGGTGTAGTGGTCAGCACATTCGGCGTGTATTCGAGAGGTCCGTGGTTCGAGTCCCCGCGAGGGCATTTCTCATTTTCACATATCCTGCTTTCTAAATAGTCTAATATCTCTACAGTACATGCTAAAACATATATAGGCATTTTAAGCAAGATGTACTAAATCCTAATTTAATATTAATGCAAATGTACAGGAAAAAAACTTACAGAATTACAAAGCTTCCAAGTACTTTTTGCAGGTTATTGTTCAGAATTATAAAGATTCAGTAAGTAAACATTCTTTGCAATTTATGGTTTTATTCGCGTGAACGATACACTGCGTCACGTGAATAAAAGTGCTAATGCGATCACAGAGGAGAAGCTTAATCAAATCATCAACAGCAAGCTCACGTAGTGTTAAAATTGAAGACATTTTGGCTGTAAATAAGGAATTAATTTAAGCGTTTCTTCATATAATTTTTGCTATTCAGAGCGTATTTATGTTTCAGCTGGAAACTCGTGTTACTATGTGTTTGAAAGCTGAAGTATTTTGTAAAATTAAACTAACGTTTTAAGTAAAAAACTTCATCTTTATTAAAGCGTCAAAATCCTGTAAATATGAAAGTTTGATTTATTAGCATATCTTAAGAAGAAAAATCGCTTAACGTCGAAATTTAGGCAGGGCTTAATTTCTTAAATTAGAAGAACCAAAGCGCTATGGAAGATCGTCAACGAACAAGAACACGAATAAATAAATAAATAAAATTACTAATAACTAATAATTAAAATATTAATTAATTAATTATTAAAATAATTAAATAATTGATTATTAGATTAATTAAATAATTAAAATTAAAAGTTAATAAAATGTAAAGAGATAAATAAAAATTTAATAAGTTACTAAATAAATGGTAAGTAGTTAAATAATAAAATAAAGTACTGGACCTTGATTATTTGGCGTTTCGGCTGGAATTTAAATTTCACACGAATTTAAATTTATCACCGGTTGTTCTGAGAAGTAGCCCAGCCAGTCTCTGGTTGAGTTTAATCTCTAAATATAATGTAATACTTCAAAGGATGATGGAAAATGAAAAACATTTTTTTTTTTCAGCACACCAATGCAATTTAAGCTCCGAATTTGGGAGCAAGTATCAATACCTCTAATTACTGTAATCTCTATAGACAACTTTATTTACATTACAAATAATGAAACGAAGTCAGTTTTTTCATTGTTTTCAAAAGAACTTTAAGTAATATTTCAAAACTGCGTTTCGTTTAAGCTTTTATTAAAATGCTTACTCAATATTTGTAAACTGGATTTGACTAGTCTAGTTGAGAGAGAAACCTGAGTAATTTTTTTAAAGGTGAAATAAAATATATAATTTACAGAAAGGATGAAATCCTGAAATTTCAATATTAAGATAAAAAAATATGTACTAAAAATGGCAGAGTCTAGTTATTTATTTTGTAACACTTTCATACTCTCTGTATCCAATTTGTTGAAGTTTTCTTTGATTAGTAAATGTTCTAGCATCACTTGTAACTGAAATGAGTGTTCTTACAGCTTCTGATATAATGCGACATTTTTTAAAGTCATTGCTTGTATAATATTTATGATGAAATAAAGTGTTTTTAGATGGAAAAAATTTTAGTTTTTTCTTCACGTTAAACTCACTATTGTGAGAAAGTACTATAGAACTCATGGTTAATTACACGAATTTAGTAGGTACATGGGAGTTCTGTAACAGTCCTTGGATAAATTACATGAAATTCACAACACATATAAGTGGGAAAATAACAAGCAAAAGAACTTACATTGAGCAATCACAAAAGTAGTCAGAGATATAAAATAGTAACAAATAAAACAGCAAGAACAAGAAGTAAATTGAAGTTATCAATTTAGGATGGCCAATAGCCGCTTGACATGCGTAAAGGAATTATAATTGTATACACAAATAACACAAGTTGGTGTATTTTTCAGACCGTTGATGCGTACCATGCTGAAAGGCAGCTGCGGAACCGAACTGTTGTACGATGATAATATTATTTGCCTTGGTGATAGAGTTCATTTTTGTAGTATCACTGCCTCCACAATTTTATTAACTGCAGACAGATGATTTATGGAACAGTAACTTGCAGGAGATGTAGAAGGCTTGTTAGGCTTCACAATAGGTGAGATCACCGCCGTTTTCCATGATGATGGAAAATACTCAAAGTTGAGGATTTGGTTGATGATTTTCGTTAGATAAAAGATCGTAGTCATCGGGAAATTTTTGATTACCTTATTGGTAATAGGCAAGGGCTATTCTTGTTTTTGATTATCTTAACAGAGTCTTAGACTTCTGAGAGGTGTGGTGGTGTATTTAATTATGGCAAAGCACACTAGGGCTATCTGCCTAAGGGGAGGGATGCCTTTCGTGGAGGACTTTCTAAGGGAAACTGGCTCGTATACACGTTACACATGGGGAAAACCACGAAAACGCCCATGCAGCCAGCCCGTTCGCGGGATTCGAACCTCGGACCGAACTACCAGTGTTCAGCGTCTTTACCGCTCGGCCGCTGGTGGGCTAGACTTCTGAGAGGACTACTGGACTGATATTGTTCTGGCGTGCGTGAGATTGGGGGTGAAATGATGTAAAATGTTTTAAACCTGGTATTGTATCTAGTCGTCTTGAATGTTATCTGTGTGAAACCGATACTCCAGATGCAAAGTTAAGAGTTCTTCTTTCTCAGTTTAGGTGTAAGGGAACCTCGTGAAGCCATTAAGGGGGAAGAGGCTTTGTAGCTTTTCCGTAATCGTGCTATATCCCGCCATATAGAACTACCATCCTTACTGAGAGACTTTATGCAGTTCATCCCATCAGGGTCAATGTTCCTTCTTACCTTCTTCGGGAACATGCAAGGACCTGACTCGGAACAGAGAGCTTACTAAAGCTATGTTCACTAATTGTGGGAAGTAGACAGGATACACAAGAAGGGTATACAAAACCCTTTATTTTTCTCTATTTTACAAAAACTTCCGTACTTCGGAATACACCGACCCGCTACTTGGGGTCTAACGTAAAAATATAAAAATAGAACTAAACTCTAATTTTAAAATAATAAACGTGGAAAATTGGCCTTATATTAACAGGAAGCGTATGTAGTACAGAGAACTATGAACACTACAATACGTTTAAATTTATCAAGAGGATTAAAACCTCTGGCCTGGAAGGCAACAAGCAACTGCGTAACTTCTAAGGTAAGCGGCCTGCTTCGACTCACTGCTTCCTCTCTCTCGCTTGGCAAAAAGCCACAACTTAAATACTTGGCGTTCGCCAGACAAACTTTGCATAAAAACCTTAACGCTTATAATTCTGGCCGGAAGTAGAAAATAAGAAGTGATAGTAAAGATTAAAAAATAAAATAAACGTTAGTAAAACTTAAGATTCTTACAATCCAACTTTATTTTGCCTGTAGATTCATGACAGACCTGAAAGCACAATGAAGTATGTTGAAAATTTTCTTGTCTTTGGAATTTCCGGATCGTTGCCATTTACGTCCCGTAACGTTTCTTTTCTGACTGAGTCTTTTTAGAGCTGGAGATCATGTAATCTTTTGCTTGGATACCTTGGTAGCAGCTTTTTTATAAGCTGTAATGATATAACCTGTGAACTTCTTCACCAAGTTATCAGTATCCTCCCCTAAATATATCATTGGGATGGTATATTGGATGTTATTTACAACTTTGGCGAAGGATCACCAGTTGGCAATAACGACTTTGTTGTGTGGTGCAATATTCAGCTGATATGCATATAGATTCGAACTGGGTTATGGTTCGAGGAAACTTCATCAAGTTCAGATATGTCTAGCAGATAACTAGCATTCCGCAGTAAGAAGTAGTCTATAATTTTATTGGAGCTAGCGTTAAACCATTTTGGGGTGGATGGAACAGCTATACATGTGATGTTATGGTTTCTGCGGAAGTGAAACCAACTTTTTCTTTAGTTAAGTCCAAAATGACTGTTGCTTAGATGCGAAATCACAACTGGCTTGATGGTTAAAATATCATTTCTTTGCACAAGTGCAATTATTCAGAAATATGTATTTTCTTAAAACTTGTACAACACTAGGGACGCTAAACGCGCCCCACAGTTTCCATATACGCTTTTTATATTTCAAATAATAAAGAAAGAAGGCGGAGCTAGACACTTGGTTTGCAGGTGAGACAAAGCTCATGCGTACTCACTTCGGTTGTATTTATACCTGGAAATTTTTCGTGTTAATCCTAAGCAGTGATTGAGTTAAAGATGTCGCAGTGCAGAGATATTACAGAGAAAGAGTACACTCAGCAAAGTAACGCAGAATGATGCAAATCGAATCTTTGAATCGGGGATGTGTTTAATTAAAATTTATGAACTTGAAGGTATATTACCAATTGGTTCCAATTAAAGTTAATAATTTTGTTTCAATATTTTATATTTTACATATTGCCCCCTCCAAACAGAAAATGGCTTAGCGAGAGAAAAGCCTCTTGAGAAGAAAGCATTAGCGTTAGCAAAGGAAGAGAAATTTTGTAGAATATCTACAATATTTACAATTGGAATGAGAAAGCAAATGAACCCAAGTAGCACGGCAACGTCGTAACAAACTCGTCGTGGATGTCGTTGCAAAAACGTTGCAATATGTCTTCTTTAAGACACACAGATGTCAGCGAAACTCAACTGTTTTGCAACCGTTGCACAGACGTCGTTATTACGTCTTCCTTAGGTTATATTTCGGTTGTGAAAGCATCGTACCACGACGTCTTAACGACGCCTAAATGTTCGCAAAATTCGACTTTTTGCAAAAGTTGTGAAAAAGTCGTTATTATGTCCTTGAGTTACATATTGATTTATGCAGAAAAATAAGCTTAATAATTAATGTATTTTTCTCCTTTTTTAAAATTTTGTATTCCTTGTATTTTTCTAAAGTTTAAATATTTTATCATTTCCTGAAAAAAAGAAAAATAATACATTTTTTTCTCTTTAGAATAATTATGCATAATTAATAATAGTCTTAATTATTTTCAGTACTTTAAATTATATTTTTTAAATAACTTAAATTCCAAGTTATAATTATTTAAGATTTCATCATTTTGCTTCCTTAATTCTTTAGTATATAAGTGAGAGTAATTATGAAAGTGGTTATTATAAATATATAACATTAATGGTAGGTTTTAAGTAAATAAAACTCAATCAGACATAAATAAAAGTAAAGATATATATGTGGGTAAAAAAAAAAGAGGGTTTCTGATTATAACAGCATTATCACATTTATTGCTGTTAAATCTCAGAGACACTAAAAATTGCCCCTGTCATGATAAATTAGGAAGTGGTTCTTAAGGTAGTATAATCAGTATTTTACCTGAACTCAAGTATAAATTTATTCGCGATTTATAGTAAAAAATATAACCATTAACTTCTATATCTCCAAGATAGGCAAATGAAAGACAATATAAAGTAGTTAATAAATGTGATGAAAACTATTCATACAAAAATATACCTAAATCTAATAACTATCCAAATTCATATCTAAAATGAAATAATAACCTAACAAACAACATACATGACAGCACTAATTTAAGAAAAAACACGAACTAGTAGTGTTTGAAAGTATAAATAGCAGAAAGAAGGTAACAGAACTAAAATTTCCAATTAATAAAGAAAATTATTTGTGTTTTTAAATAGGTAAGCAAGTGCATTAAAAGGATGTAATAATTAAGGATTGCCGTATTTACTAGTAATGCTGATGTTTCTTAACACCATTTTTTTTCGAGTTACATGTTAATGTATTTACTTATTTTTAGTTTCTGAATTTTAGAATAGTGGTAGATTACAATGATTATTTCATGCACTTTTTATAATACTGTATAGAAATAATTTAAATAATACGATAGTAAGCTAAGTACGTTAAAGTAAGCTCTTGGTTAAATAGCACACGATGAAACTTTTGTTTCTATTTATTATGAATTTCTTTGTTATCACAAGCACATAAAAAGTAAGCGAAGAAAATAGAATATACTTATATTTAATAAAAAAATAAAACCTAATTTTCAACATTTATTTATTGAGATAATCTAATAAACATACATAACGGCAATAGAATATTCTTAAATTTAATAAAAAATAAAACCTGATTTTATAAACATATTTATAAACATAATTTTATAAACATACATAAAGGCAATATTTAATTTTAAAAAACGCGAATTGCACAGTGTTTGGAAGAATAGATACCAAACGAAAAGTAATGAAACTTCAATTTGCAATCAATAAAAAATATTTCGTGTTTTTTAATATTACACCATAAATATCACATATCAATAATTATGGATTAAATATTTCATAGTAATGCTAAAGTTTCCTTAACACTATTTTTCGATCATACATTTCATACACTGTTAAAATCATCAAATTTTTGCATACTATATAATGTGCATTATTATTAATTTTAATGTATTGGTTCTTGTTATTACATATATCTAATTCATCTTCAGCAGTCATACAAAGTATTGGTACCAGTCCAATAATTTCTTTCTATTTTGAAACTCATGAACATACCATAACAGCCTTGAATTGTTGTTGCTTCTGCATGGATTGCATTTTCAGCAAAATCAGAAATTGCC